CTTGGGTGCTCCGGGCGCCCCTGGGGGGAGCCCCTGAAACCGTCTTGAAGCGGGTGGTGGTGCTTCTGGGGCTGGGTAGAAGCATCGGCAAGCCGAAAAAACTGACCCCCACCCACACAGCAAACATCGACAGCAAACCAGTGATTGTTGCCTCTTGAGGCCCTCTTGGGGGCCGTCTGGCAACCCTCTTGGAGCGTCTGGGGGGCGTTTAGGGCCGTCTGGGAACCTTCGTGGAGCGCCTCGAAGCGTGGTGGGCCGTCAGGACGCGACCGCGGGCGTCTGGGAGTGATTTTCCAGCGACTCGGTGCCTTGCTGGTCTGTTCTGAATGATCTTTGGGCGGCTCGGTGCGCCCCTGGGGGGAGCCCCTGAAACCGTCTTGAAACTGGTTTGGTGCTTCTAGGGCTGGGTTGGTGCGTCGGTAGGCCGACAGGACGAACCCTCGCCCCCAAAAAACAACAACAGCACACGAAAACATTGATTTGTGCCTCTTGGGGCTCCCTTGAGAGCAGTCTGGGAACCCTCTTGGAGCGTCTACGGCGCGGTTTGGGCCGTCTTGGATCGTTCGTGGAGCGCCTCCAGAGAAGGAAGTGCCCTCAGGACGCAACCGCGGGCGTCTGGAACTGATTTTCTGGCGGCTCTGGCGCGACTCGGTTACCTGTTGGGCTGTCCTGGAAGTGTCTTGGAGAAACTTTGGAGCCTTTTGGATGCTCTGGGCGCCCCTGGGGAGAGCCCCCGAAACCGTCTTGAAGCGGGTGGTAGTGCTTCCAGGGCTAGTTTGAGACAAGCGGTTCGCTCAAGTTCCCTTCTCAAAAGCAGAACGCGGCTCACAACGCGCACTGGCAGACAGCATGAAATTCAAGCCGGCGACGAAGCATATGCTGAACGTTGCTCGCAATGCCTCGCCAATGCAGGCGATGGTCCGAGACAGCATGGCAGGTCGTCGTGGGCGCCTCTTGCGCTGTCTTGGGAATCTTGGAGCAATCGGGGGGATGACTCTGAAGCCGTCGTGAGCTGCTGAGAAACCGTAGGAAGCGAGAACGCAAAAGCAAGAGAAAATCACACAACGTGGCATCATGGGGCCTTCTTGGCGGCCCTCTTGGGGTTCGTTCAGGGGCCCCCGAAGGCCGTCCTGGAGCGCTCTTCGGCAGCCCTGGGAGGCCACGCCCGTCTTGGGCGCTCCTGGGGTGCTCTTGGGGGTCTCCTGTGGCTCTCTCGGGGCTCTCTTGGGAGCATGTTGGGCCTCTCTGAGGCCTCTCTGGGGCCGTCATGGGGATCTCCTAGGCCGTCTTGGGGCTCTCTTGGGGGGCCTCCTGGACCGTCTTCGGGCGATCTTGGGGGCTTCTTGGGCCACCTTGGACGCTCCCGATACCAAACAAGCGAAGATGCTAAACAAGTACGTTTTCCGAAGGGAGTGGGACGATGTTTGCCTCGCGGGGGCCCTCTTGGGGGCCTCTTGGGCTGTCTTGAGGCCATCTTAAGCGTTCTTGGAGTGCTCTTGGGGCGCTATGGGATCGTCTGGGAGGCCTCCTGGGCCATCTGGAAGCTATCGTGGATGCTCTTGGAGCGCTCCCGGCGGTGAAACTGTCTCGCAAAGGGCCAAATACAAGCCCCGGGCCCTGGGGGCTAAATTGGGTTACCCAGGGAGTGAACCCAATTGTCATTGTGTGCGGGGGGGCGGGGAGGAAGACCAACGCTCCGACACATTCATACATACATACAGACAGACAGACAGACCGACAGACAGACATAGTTACATAGTTACATACATACATGCATAGTTACATACATACATGCATGCATACATACATACATGCATGCACGCATGCATACATACACAGACTTTCTGATGAGAAGAACCTACAGGATGCAATACCTATACGACCACCCCTCGGGTGATAAGGAGGTTCGGGGGGGAAGAACCAACGTCTCACTCGATCGGTCTCACTATCGATCTCACTATCGATCTCACCATCGGTGTCGCTCGATCGATCCCACTCGATCGATCTCACCATCGATATCACTCGATCTATTTCATTCGATCGCTCTGACAATCGATCTGACTATCGATCTCACAATCGATCTCACTATCGATCTCACTATCGATCTCACAATCAATCTTACATTCGGTCTAACTATCGATCCCACTATCGATATCACAATCGATATCACAATCAACGTCATCATCATCATCATCATCATCAACATCATCGTCATCAACGTCATCAACATCATCATCAGCATCATCGGGAAACCATCATCATCATGATCACCTCATCACCTTCATCACCTCATCACCATCATCATCATCATCATCATCATCACCATCACCATCATCATCATCATCATCATCATCATTATCATCATCATCATCATCATCATCATCATCATCATCATCATCATCATCATCATCATCATCATCATCATCATCATCATCATCGGGACACCATCATCGTCATCATCATCATCGGGGCACCATCATCATCAGCAGCAACATCACCATCAACATCATCATCATCATCGGGGCACCATCATCATCAGCACCATCACCATCATCATCATCATCATCGTCATCAACATCGTCAACATCATCATCATCATCATCATCATCATCATCATCATCATCATCATCATCATCATCATCATTGGGGCACCATCATTATTACCACCATCACCATCACCATCACCATCACCATCACCATCATCATCATCATCATCATCATCATCATCATCATCATATTCATCATCATCATCGTCAATATGATCATCATCATCATCATCATCATCATCATCATCATCATCATCATCATCATCATCATCATCATCATCATCATCATCATCGGGACACCGACGGGACACCGGCGCGACACCGGCGGGACACCGCGCGCCACCGGCCCCCGAGCGGGACACCGGCGGGACACCGCGGGGCACCGGCCGCCCGGTCAAGGTTCTTTTGCTCCGGCCGCGCCTCAGCCACAGGAGACTTTCTCTCGCCCGCCCACGCAGCTTCGCCTCGCCCGCACGGCATGCACGAACACGAAACCGAAACCGATTTCCCGGTAGGGGGGCTCTCCGTTCCACTTCGAGCTCACCCCCTCACCTCCGATTTGTCGCGTAACACTTGGGGTGGAGGCTCTGTGGCGTAGGCTGTGCAATCAACCTATATGGTGCAAGCTGTGCGCATCCTACAATGCGAGCCAGCGCACGGGGCGCCCACAAGGCGCCCACGGACGGCCTCTGGCTGAAGGCCCGGCAGACGCAGCCAGCGCACGAGGCGCCCACGAGGCGCCCGAAGGGCGCCCGCCAGCCGAAGACCTGGCAGACCCGACCAACGCACGATCGATACGCCCACGAGGCGTCCACGAGGGCACCATAGGGCGCCAACTAGCGGAACACCCAGCAGACCCTCCCAAGACGCCAACCTTGCGCACACCCGGCAAACCTGGTCAATTACTTAGGAAACAGCGTACGAACCGTTTGGACACAAACACTGCTCGGGGAATGATGCGACAATCGCTACATGTCTTGGGCGCATCACGATGGATATCCGACGCCCTGACCGTGCGAACACATTTTTCAAATCAAAAGCTCAGGGCTCAGGGCCGGTCACTGCGCACATCGAGCGCAACAATGCAAAGCATACCTAAATATCTTCGCGCGAAGACAAGGAAACGAGGGAAGACGGAACCTGCACTGAGGGCAGAGAAACGAGGGACATGTGGTGTACGCACTCCTTCGAAGGCATCGCTGCCTCACTGTGATCATCTTCGCCCAACAGTCCCCCGACAGCAAATCCGACATGCCCAAGGTTCTTGACGTAGAAGTTCAAATACTGGATGCCCTGCCTGGTCCGCCCATGGGCAACTTTCACTTGTACCTTTCCAAACTTGAACCAAGTCGGCGATTCGTCACCTCCACCCTGAGCTTCGAAACGAAGACCGCCGGCGAGTCTCTCCTCCACCCACTGTCCTGTGATGTTAATCTCTTGGAAATACATGTCTGTGCATTCACCACCCAATCGGCTTGCCTCGGCATCTACACGGAACACCGTGTTCCCGACAGACTCTCCCCGTGGGATGTGGATCAGAACGTGCTTGCCGGGCCTCATCAGATCGAACCGCTCTCCATGAACATTCTGCAGATGGGGATCGCCAGTGGCAGCTGCGGCTCCTGCTGCCCCGGCCATGGGAGCTCCAGGAGGGAACGTCGGGTGTGGCGTCGGCCAGCCCGGAGGATACGTCGGGCTCGGCGTCGGGCTGGGCGTTGGGAAAGCCGTGGGGAAGGCCGTGGGAAAGGGCGTCGGGAAAGGCGTGGGGTAGGGCGTCGGGAAAGCCGTGGGGTAGGGCGTCGGGAAGGCCGTGGGATAGGGCGTCGGGAAGGCCGTCGGATAGGGCGTCGGGAAGGCAGTGGGGTAGGACGTTGGGTAGGGTGTCGGGAAAGCTGTTGGGTAGGGCGTCGGGTTGGGCGTGGGAGAAGGCGTCGGGTAGGGTGTCGGGTAAGGTGTCGGGTAGGGTGTTGGGTAGGCTGTTGGGTAGGGCGTCGGGTTGGGCGTGGGATGGGGCGTGGGAGAAGGCGTCGGGTAGGGTGTCGGGTAGGGTGTTGGGTAGGGTGTTGGGTTAGGCGTCGGGTTGGGTGTGGGATATGGCGTAGGATAAGGCGTCGGGTTGGGCGTCGGGCTGGGCGTCGCTGGGACGTTTTCCCGGCAACAACAGCCGCAATGAACATTTGTCCAAGGGCTGCCGCGAGCGCATCCCCAACCGCAGGCCCAATACTTTGCGCCACTGCCACACGAATCGTAGTACCCACTGCCGCATGAGACCCTTTGCTGTTTGGTCACGTTCGTCATGTTGAAATTGTCGGGAACGTCCATTATCCTGGACGCACGTCTTGGACTCAATAAGGCGCGCTCTGACGTGGTAGTCTGCACCCGTTCCTGGCCGGAAGTCTCGCCAAGGGTTGCAGCAACATCACAAACCAGAACCAAGTCGTTCCATGAGTTATCCTCCACCCGCCCGAAATTATTCCCATAATCGCAGTGGTTCCACCACGGGTCCAGTCGGCTTGCTGCGCACTTCTTGTAGAACTCATCTCGGCCTGCGTTCAATGCAGGCAAAGCAGAAGAAAACTCCTCTGACGTGGCGTAGCGCAGCCCAGGGCAGAAGGACGAATACGATGTGAGGTCCTCAAGTTTGGAACATCCGCCAGAACACGGAGAAGCCCAAAGGAAACAGATACCGTTCACGTGGTAACAATAATCCTCCACACGTTTTTCCCGCAAGGCGTTGCGATCGATGTTTGACTTCCAGCAAAGGTTCCAATGCGACATGTGCGAATGCCCTGCGATAGTAATGTCGGATATTGGCGTAGGATACCGTGAAGATTCGGCCTGCGACACCGTGGTGCTATTGAAGATGAATTCGGAATGATACCCCGCGTCAGTGCTGCCCAACGGAATCGTCTTGGCGGGGTCCACCATCACTGTGCACTTGCCCAAGCCGGATCCCACAATACATTCATCTTCCACGCTGCACTCATTGTCACCATCCACGCTGACACCCTTTAGCCACTCCACGTCGCGACTCCTCACTCTCACCGTGCCCACGCCATTGACGCTTATCCCGACAACTTGGGAACTCACGAGTGCGAAAATGGAAGCCTTAAGAGACCTGACGCAGAGCATTCTGACCAGGTATTTTATAATTGCGCTCGAGAACACAAAGTAAGTGCGAGTGTACGCATACGAAGTTATAGCACCGAGAGCCTTGAGCAAAACCACGCGGACATCCTGCCCATTCATGATCATGCTTGTCTCCCGCAGCCTCCTCGCTCCCTTCCCTCCTTGGTTCGCTTCCTCGTTCTTGCTGGTTGTCTTGATGATTCCTATCTGCGGCCATGCACTCCTACTGGCTTGTTGTGCCCGTCGGGCTGGGCCCTCCCCCCCCTCACAAAGATTTACCCGAATACGGGACCCCACCATCCCAGTGGAAGCGGGCTCAGAAAAGGCACGGATCATGCTGGGCCACCAATCGCTTGGATAAACCCTCGCCCGGGCAGAATCACGGGTTCGATGCAGGCGATGGCTTCAATAGCAACTAGGCGTGAACACTTCGGGGGAAGTACAGCAACCCTTCCAAGAGGCCCTAAAGACTAAAACTGAATCGAATCCTTTCAACCAGTGTCCACTTTAACAACAGGAACAGCACGAACCGTACACGACACTCACACAACACACAACACAAACCGCATTCTCCAGCGACCCAGTGGCGCCACTGCAGCAACAAAAGCGAAAACGGGGCACGCTCAGCACGAATTCCACTGGACTCCGCGAAAGGATGGACTACACCGGGCGAGCCGCATGCAAACTTTGTTCCGTCGGTGGCGAGGCAGGGCAATCCGCTCCAGCGTATAGCAGCGGTGCAGGGGCACTGCAAAGCGAGGAGCCGCATGCACACACACGGCACACTGAAACATCGGCACACCACGCTGCGGTACGGCACGGGCACGTCGAGAGGCGGCACGGCACCACACGCACGACGCCACTGCGGATTTGGGATCAGAACGCGGCACGGCACGGCACGACCGGCGGTGACAGAGATGGGCGACACGACGCGACACGCCGCGCAGGACGGAACTTGGAGCACGTCACGGCACACGTCAAAGCACGCATGGTGGCACGGCGAACTGGTAGTGCGCGGCACGGCACGGCACGGCACGGCGCAAAACAGCACGCAGGGCGGAGATGGGAGCTGCGGGCACGCCACGGTGCGGCACGCCCGACGGGAGCACGACTCTGGAGCACGTCGCGACACCGTACGGCACGGCCTGCCCGACGGACTCACGGACTGGGAACACGACGCGACACGGCACATGCAGAAAAAGAAACAACACCCCACGACAATCTACGGCACGGCACAGCACGCCGGGCGAAAAAGCGCATCGGGGCAACGACGCGACGCAGCGCCAAGCGGCACGGCGTGCCACCCCGAGCCGAACGGGACCGCACAAGCTGGACACGGTTGCCCCGCTTCAAACCTGGTCGAGCAAGAACGGGAAGCGCCGACTTTGTCCATTGGGCTGGTAAGGAGGATGGCAACAACAAGGCGGCAGATGCCGAAGATGACAGGGTGGATGCGGGGGGAAGACAAGGATGGGAGCAGGATGACACTGAGCAGGACTACAAGCACGAGGAGGAGGAGGACGAGTTTGACGAAACTATGAAGGAAGACTAGGAGCACGAGTATGAAGAGGAGGAGGAGGAGGAGGAAGAGATGGAGGAGGACGAGTACGAGGAGGAACGATGCCGAGGAGGATGGAGGATTAACAAAAACAACGATGACGACGAACGAGGACGATAAGGACGTCGAAGGAAAGGGGGTTCTCGCGATCGTGTACAGCTACCTTGGGGGGTGCTGGGGCCATCTGGGGCTATCTTGGGGCATCTTGGGGGCCTCTTGGGCTCTTGGTGGCCTGTCAGAACCCTCCTGGGAGCTGCTGGGGTCATCTTGGGTTGTCTGGGCGTCGTGGCGCCATCTCGGGCTGTCGTGGCCCGACTGGGGGCCTCGAGGGGCTCCCTTGGGGGCCTCCCGCAGCATTGTTTGGCTCTTCGGGGGGGGGGCGTCGTGGGGCTCCTTTGGGCCACGGTGCGCCCCTCCCAAAACGATTCCGACACGTCAAAAACAAATGTTGCGAGGACGCCCCCGACGAAACGGTAGTTGTTCAGGAACCTGGCCGGGCAACGACGGGAAGCGCCGCTTTTGTCCACGAGACCCGTCAAAGAACATCCCGCTGAGAACCTCAAGCAACTCGGCAAACGCATGCCCAACCGCCCCGCCGTCGATTCATCGTGTTGGTCCGCCGTGCCCCTGGTGTCTGCCGTGTTCCTGTGGTCTGTCGTGCTCTCAACATCTGCCGTGCTGCTGTGGTCTGCCGTGCTCCTGCGGGCAACCGTGCTGGTCGGCAATGATTCTACTTTCTGCCGTGCTGGTCAGTTTGCCGCGCTGGTCCGCCGCGCTTATGAGGCACGCCCTGCTGCTATGATCTGCCAAACTGGCCTGCCGTGCTGATGCCATCTGCAGTGCTGGTATGCTATGCTGGCACGGTCTGCCGTGCTGATTTCCCGTGCTCCTGTAATCCACCCCGTGTTTTTTTGGTCTGCTCCTGTGGTCTGCCGCGCTGCTGTGATCTCCCTCGGTGGTCGGCCGTGCTGCCGTGGTCTGCCGCGCTGTGATTATGGAGCTGAAGTTACGGGGACCTAAAGCCAGATAAAGAAAGAGAGAGAGAGAGAGCAATAACTATTTAGAGAGAGTAGTGAAGAGAGAGGAAGAAAGAAAAAAGGAAGAGAGACAGAGACACCACACAATAAGCCAAGGCACCTTGGGCCCCACCCACGGGCCCTCATGGCCCTACCCGCCCAGGGGGGCCCAGCGGGAAACGGGCCAGAGCCTCGGAACCCCGCGGGGCCTCGCGCCTGGGGGGCGGCAAGGGGCGCGTCAGCGGCTCGCGCGACCTTCTTGTTTTGCAGAGGCCCGCTGGAAGTGCTGCCGCCACAGAGGGCGGGCAGCGCGAAGTCCTCGCGCTCAACCCTCGCATTTCCTGGGCCTCGCAGGCCTTGATGTCCCGATGCGGGAAAGGCCTCGGCTTGTTCGTGACCTGGGCCAGCGCGTCTGGCCTCGCACCCTGGAAGGCAAGCTCTACGGGCGGGCGGGGGTTAGGGCTCCAGGCCTGGCGCGGGGCGACAGGTGCTCAATGCGCACGCAAGGTCCTGCGACGCCAAGAACCAGTCGAAAGTAGTTTCATGCTTCTCGGCAAAACAAGCAGGGGCCCAAGGCCCGATGGCCACTCCATAGTTACATTCTGGCCAACTGAGCTCCTGCAGGGTCGCTGCCTCCATGTTGAAGTCCGCCTGCAGGAGCCGCGACATACGCCCAGCTGCCATGGTGAGCTGCGCCACCGCTCTCAGCAAGTCGAGGTCGCCTGCCCTTGGCCCGACAACGTGCTCGAAGTAGGCCGAGGCGACCATGGGCTCCAGGCCCGACGGCATCATCACTTCCACTCCCAGCAGTCGGCGAGAGAGGCCTGCGGGCACCGCCCAAGGACCCCGCTCGGCCAGGTCCTCGCGCACGAGGACGGATGCCCCCCCCCCCCCTCCCGAGGTGCAACTGACCCTGGTGCCCGCCGACGTCCTGGCAGCGGGGCGGAAGGCCGTGCGCCCATGAGGGCCCAAGGCCCCAGCGGCGCTAGACGCGGAGGCCAACTTGCTCGGCGCCAAGAGCCCGGTCTCCTGGAGGGGCACGGCACGACGTGCCACCTCCAAGGAGCGTCGTCATCCGCTGCCGTCGCAGCCGAGCACGACGAGGCCGCTAGCGAGGGCTTCGGCGAACGCGGCCATCGGCGCCTGCGCCGTCGGGTCGAGGTCGCGCACCCTGCCCCCAATGATGGCGTCAGCCGCCGCCGCTCGCCGCATTCCTCCTGGCTGGCCTGGCCCGCCCTGCTGCGCCCCCCTGCCGCCGCCGAGGGCAGGTGCTGCGGCGGCGCGGGGCTGAATCCCACCGCGCCTACCAGGTGGCCGCACCAGTGGGCTTATACAGGGCTGTGTGCTGTCAGCCAGGGCGCACTCGCCTCGCGGGTCCGACTGACCTCGGGGCGGGCCCACCTGGCGGCGCCCCTCAGCCACGTGAGGTGGCCCTCCTGGCAGACCCCCCTCAGGCCGCGGCTGCCGACCAGGAAGTCGCTGCCTCGCGGGTCTGGCTGGCCTCGGGGCGCGCACCTGGCCCGAGCCCCTCAGCCCTGCGGGGTGGCCCGCCTGGCCAACCCCCGCCGCGCCCTCCCAGTCGGCCAGGGCGCAGTCGCCTCGCGGGCCAAACTGGCCACGGGGCAGGCCAACCTGGGGGCGCGCAAAGCCGACCTCAAGGTCAAAGGCCCGGCTGCCCCATTTCAGGCCGCACAGGAGCCCTCTCAGCATCCGACACAGGGCGCCTGGCAGCCTCAGAGACGCACGACCGCGGGCCCGAGGCAACCCCGAACCGCTCACCCTGGCCACGTATGGCCGCGGGCTGGGCTGGCCAAGCCCGTCGGACCCTGGCCTTCTCGGCGGCTGAGGCGAGGGGGGCCTCGTCGTCATTGATGTCCAGCTCGTCATCGATGGGGCAGCGATCCGCCCATGACTCGCGCGGCGGCGCGCTGGCCAGAGCGAGCTGCGCCGTCACAGCCGACATCTGCTTCTCGATCTCCGACCACGCGCACTCGAAGTTGCCAGCGCGCCGCGCTGCCTGCAGGCCACCACGGAACTGCGTGAGGAGCCCTGGCACATGGCTGCGCTCAGCGAGCTCCGCCGCCTGGTGCAACCGTTCGGCCTCCACTGCTGCCTTGATCTCAGCCTCCAAGCGGCGGAAGGCCTCCTCGTCCTCCTCCAGCTCGGTGTCGAGGGCGGCGAGCTGCTCGACGAGCTCCTCGCGCGCCTCACGCTTGGCCTCGTGGGCCTTGCGGGCACTGCCAAGGCGCTGTTCTGCCTTGCCCGCCGCGTTTGCCTCCCTGCGCATACGCGCGGACCGCGGCAGCGCGGCAGCCTTGGCCATCTCAGCCGCTGCACGGGCCCCCATCCAGCTCGCCTCGCCGGCGGACCAGCTGGGCCTCGATCTCTCACGCATGTAAATCCTCGGGGCGCGCGATGGAGTCCAGGATGCCTCGGAGCTGGCCCGCTGCTGCCGTTCTCTGGGCTCCTGGCCCCGCTCTTGGACGTCCCGAGAGAGTTGCGGCCGTTGTTCCCAGTCGCCGCGTGCGCAGCCCTCCGCGCCTTGCGCTGAGCCTGGCGCCCACGGGGCTGTACGATCCAGCCGTCTCCATCGGCGGCGCCCTCTGTCTTGGGCCCGTCCTTGGCGGCAAGCGCTGGCGACCTCGAGCACATCCTGACTCACGGGGGGCCTTCGCACTACAACCGTAGCACTGGCGCGCGCCATGGGCAAACCTCCAGGCGAAAACAAGGAGGGCCCCGCTGCTCTCGGCGAACCTCTGGTCCCCAGCAGCGCGCAGCTCGACTGGGGCTGCAAGAATCGGATGCTAGCCTCGGACCGGAGGTATGCCCTCTCTGTCCGACAGGGCAGAAACATCTGGAACCGACGTGGCTACGGAGCGCGCGCTGTGCATCTGGTCTGCCATGCTCCCGTGGCGTGCCGTTCCGGAACTGAACTGGAACTGCTAGGGGCGTGGAACCTAAGGAAGGCACGCTGGGGGCCACGCGGGGGAAAGAGCATCCGAGTGGCTTAGCGAACAAGCCCGCACCTCGATCCCTCCTCTGGGAAGGGCTGGGGGCGGAAGACCGGCAGACCGACTGCACGCCCGGCCGCCGAAGCCCAAGAGACTAGAATTCAAGTCGTCATCAACAGACAACTGCAAGACACAAAGACTTGGACGACTACCACCATCAACTCGAACGTGTAAGACCGTATGCAAATATTGCAACCAAAAAAACTTCCGAACATCTCCAACGGTGTATGACGAGGCAGCAGTTACATGCTGAACCTTATTCGTGCGATGTTTGAACCTGCGAACATGCAGGTTCGCGGCACGCTCCACCGGACTACGAAACTGCACGCCTGCAGGTTCGCAGTGACTTCGTTCCCCCATCCACCATTTCATGCTTGACATCATGTTGACGGCGACGACGGCGATGCTGCTGCTGCTGCTGATGCTGCTGCTGCTGCTGCTGCTGCTGCTGCTGCTGATGATGATGATGATGATGATGATGATGATGATGGTGGTGCTGGTGTGCATGAAGGTGGCGATGATGCTGCTGATTGGGGTGGTGATGAAGGTGGTGGTGTCGATGAAGATGGTGATGATGGTGATGATTGTTGTTTCAGTTGGCGGCGATGGTAGTGAAGATTGTAATGGCGGTGATGATGTTAGATTGCACTCCCTTCCTACCTTTTTCCTCAACTCTTTCTCGGTTGGGTTTTTGTTTTGAATAGAGCAGTGGGGACGGCAACTCCCCTTCCCCACTGGGGGAACCAGCTCGCCTGCCTGCTAGGGGGGGCCAACGCAATGGGGTCCCAGGCAGGCCCTAACGGGACCTCACCATCCCTGAGAGGCTGCGAAATGCGAAATTGTCGCCACTTTCGAGGGCTGCGCGGGGGCCAGCACAATGGGGTCCCACGCAGACCCAAACGGGACCTCGCCATGCCTGGGGGGCTGCTCAGTGTGAAACTGTCGCCACTTTCGAGGGCTGCTGGGGAAGCCAACACAATGGGGTCCCACGCGAACCCAAACAAGACCTCGCCATCTCTGGGGGGGTGCTTAGTGTGAAACTGTCGCCACTTTCGAGGGCTACTGGGGGGACAAACACAATGGGGTTTCACGCGAACCCAAACGGAACATCGCCATCCATGGGGGGCTGCGAAACTTTCGAGGGCTGCTGGTGGAACCAGAACAATGGGGTCCCACGCAGACCCAAACGGGACCTCGCCATCCCCGGGGGGCTGAGAAATGTGAAACCGTCGCCACGTTCGAAGGCTGCTCGGCAGGGAATCACAATGGGACCCCACGCAGACCCAAACGGGACCTCGCCATCCCTGGGGGGCTTCGACGTGTGAAACTGTCCCCACGTTCGAGGACTGCTGGGGGGGGCGCAGGTGGGGTCCCACGCAAATCCCAAAAAGACCTCGCCATCATCTCGCTGCTTCTGCCGAAGAGAATCTTATTCCACCCCGATGTCTTTCACTTGCTTCTCCTTCCCAATATAATGCCTCCTGGCCTTTTGTATTTCTGTTCCGCGAGCCGGCCACGCACACTTCGCACGACATAGATATCCACCGTGTACAATATCTTGCAATGTTGCTATCACATAATTGTTGACACACCTTATATCATCTCTTGGTACCGATGGGTTGGGTACGTCGCAAGGCAACTTCAAACTGTGCCTCCGAACACTCAGTGGTGCAAAATATTGGGTGAGGGCGGCGGAGGAACGGAGAGATGAGGATAACGGGGGGAAGAGGGAAACGAGAGAAAACATAATCTGTGGAACGGGCGACGGAGAGTAATCAAGAGCACGAGAGAGAGATAGATAGAGAGAGAGAGAGAGAACAAAGAAAACGAACAACGAGGAATGGAAAAAACGGAAACGCACTCAAAGGGCATGCCAAAGCCTGGGACATGCAGGGACGGAGGGGGATGAGCGAACTTGAAGAAACATGCATTCGAACAAAAATTATCATTTTTCTCAAGTTGCGGCTGGAGGCCCCAAAGGGCACCCAATATCGCCCGGTGAGGCTTCCTAGAGTCCCCCAATAGCTCCTGGGAAGTTCTCGAGAAGTCAACATCACTGCAACAACTAAGGACACTCACGACTTTTACGTTCTCGCATTTCCGCCCTCGACACGCTTCCGAAGCTTGCGCATGCAACCCAAGAGAACTCCAAGATGCCCCCAAGATGCGCTCCGAGCGGCTCATGGAGCGCTCCTGGGGGCCTGTGGGAGCTCTCGATGGGCCTCTCGGGGCCCCTCTTCGGCGCCGGATGCTTCCGGGGCGGCTCCCGGGAGCTCGCTGGCGCCTGCTCGGAGCGTTGGGGGCCGCGGTGGTGCCCCTTCGGGCGTCATGGGGAGCCTCGTTTGGCCTCTGAGGGCCACTCCTCGCCGCTCGGGGCGCCTACTGTGAAGGGGCCCACAGACACACATAAATACACGCAAATAAACAGATCCCCCATATTTTCCCATATTTTCTGGGCTGCTGTCTTCCCCCCCACTTACCATATTTTCGCATATTTTCTGGGAATCGACGAATAATTGTGTCTGTGTGTTTTTTCCCCTCCTGATACTGGGGGCCCTCTGGGAGCTCTCCTGGGGGGCCTGCGCAAGCCTCGGAAGCGCGTCGGGGGCAGACGCGCGAGGCAGCAGGACACCACTGATCCCGATTGGGTTGTAGTGATTTTGGCATCTCGGGGGCTTCCCTGGAGCTCTTGGGGGACTCTTGGGCTGTGTGGGCCCCGGAAACGGCAGGGCCGTTTTCTTCACGGTTTCCTCAAGAAATGTTCCTTGAAAATGGAAGCGGCAAAAAGACGGCGACCGGGAACAGCAAAAACACGGCTCCAGGATTGGAACCGGAGCCGGAACCGCTCAAAAAACGGCGACGGAACCGGTAAACAAACTGCGTCGGAACCAGAAAAAAACGGCAAAACGGAACCGGTAACAAAAACGGCCCTGTCGTTTCCAGGGCCCACTAAGCTCTTGGGCATTCCAGAGCCGCTGGGGCGCCGGCTTGGACAGCCTTGGAGCACTCTTGGGCTGTCTCGGGGGCGTCCTGGTGTCCGCGGGCTCTCCCGGGGCTCTCTCGTGGACGCCAGAAGTGGCCGCAGGGTCGGTGCATCCCGGGGTGGCCGATGTGTGTGCAGCATCCAGGCATAGATACATACATGCATGCATGCATGCATGCATACATGCATCCATACATTCATACATACATGCATACATACGCACGTACGTACATACGTACACATGTAGACAAACATATCCACATGTAAGCGCGTATGATGTGTGTATACACATGCCTGTATAGATGGTGTATGTATGTGCGTTTGCCTGCATGCCTGCATTTCTGCATGTGTACGTACATGCGTGTATGTTCGTATGTATGTATGCATTCATGCATGTAGGTATGAATGCATGTATTTGTAGTTGTATGTGTATTTGTATGTGTACATATGTGCATGTGTATGTATATGTGTAGTTATGTGTGTATGTGTATGTGTATGTGTATGTATGTATGTATGAATGTATGTACGTACGCGTGTATGTATGTGTGTATGTATGTGTATGTATATATATATATGTTTATATGTATATGTTTATGTATGTATATATATATATGCTGGTAGTTACATATGTATGTATGCATGCATGTATGCATGTAGGTGTCTCCATGTGTAGGTATGCATGTATGCATTCATGTATGCATGCATGCATGTATACATGTATGCTTGTATGGATGGATGGATGGATGACTGGATGGCTGACTGGATGGATGTGTGTAGGTATGTGTATATGTATGCGTGCATGGATGTCTGTGTGTATGTCTGTCTGTCTGTCTGCCTGTCTGTCTGTCTGTCTGTCAGTCTGTATGTATTTATGTGTGCAATTGTGTATGCATGCATGCATGTGTGTATGCATGTATATATGCATATATGTGTGTCTGCATGTATGTATGTATGTATGTATGTACGTATGTATGTGTAGATGTAGGCCGGTAACGAGAGAGGTAGGTGTGCGTGCATGTACGTACGTATGCATACATGCATGTACGTATGCATGTACGTATGCATGCACGCATGCATACATGCATGTATGCATACATGTATGCATGTATATGTATGTAGGTAAGTAGGTAGATATGCATGCATGCATGCGTGCATGTATCTATATGCAGTTGTTTAGAATACATATCCAAGGCATCGGGCAACGATGCAATATGCCAGGGGCCCAAGAGGCGCTGGACATGGACACCGTTAGGCCGCCCTGACATGTTTGTATCCGCTGCCTCTTTGGATCATGGAGTATCAGTTCCCTGAGCTGTGGATATGTACAGCCTCGCCTGGTACAACAAAGGGAAGGAGGAATGATGAGAAAGAAGAGGGATGAAGGGGGCTATGATTTCGACGAGGGGAAGAAGGAGGACGGATGAACAATGAAGTGGAGGGAGAAGGAGTGGGAGAACGAAGACGAGGGAGCAGGAGGGGAGCTGCAGAATGAAGAGGGGAAGGGCAATGATGACGAGGAGAGCAGGCAGGAACAGGAAAGGAAGAGGGAAAATGAGGAGGAGGAGGAGAAAAAGGAAAAGGAGGAGGGGAGGACGAGGTGGTCGCGGATATCGTAACGCTGGCGATGGCGATGGTGACAGTGATGCTGATCAGGAGTGGGGAAAAAAGGACAGAAAAAAAGGGGAGGAGGATGTGCGGGAAGGAAGAGGAGGGAGGAGGAGGAGGGAGGGAGATGGCGAATAAGGACAAGGATGCGGATAAGGAAAATGCCGCTGGGGGTCCGAATGTCAACCCAGCAAATTTGATTGACAAGTTCCCAGGTGGGAGTATGAATTCAAGCCCTCAACTGGTGGCTTGAGAACTGCCAGGGGCGATCCCCCCCCACCCCCTCCTTGAATTTGTAATGAAATGAAAATGCGACCCCGTCTGGCGAGAAACCCCATGTCGTGAATAGTTTGTGATCGAACCATTCAGGCCATGGTAGAAATAGGATCTGGGATTTACGAAGACTTCCCTGAATTTGGAAAACCCGTTTTTGAATTTCACAAACCAATTCCTGCGTCTACTGGGTGATGTTAAATATTGTTTTGATTCGGCGGCGCAATTGAATAATTCCGTTTCGCTCTCGCTGGAATGATTCATTCTTTTCTCCATAATTTGTTGTTAAGCACGCGCGCTCATTTATTGCCATGACCCTCGCTCGCCGGTGAGATGTTCGCGGGCGCGGGCGGCTACCGCCATGTGGTGGTTCACCTTCCCCGTTGGGGACCCGGCAACTCTCCGCCCCCCGCTGCCCCCCTCTCTCCCGCCACTCCCAGAGAACCGAATGCGCAGCGACCTTTGTGTATAACAAATGGACCTGGTCCCGGGCCGCGCCGCACCGGCTTGACATGAGCGCTGGACGAGGCCACCCTTTATTTTGTAGTAGCCGTTGCTATATGCTGCCAGCGGCCATGGAAAGACCAGCTTGCCATGTTGTCTCTTACCCCACTCACGACATGCAGCCGCGTCCCTGGCCGATTCCGCAACCCGCCGCCGCCGCGAATGCTGGGCTTCGCTGGCTGAGGCCACCGCGCATCTCTACATCGCTCTCGAGCTGGTTTGCTGATCCGCTTTTTGCGGGTGTCGCACACGCTGCGCTTGGGTCCTGCTGTCTCTTCCGCAATACTGGCAAGCTTCGGATGAGGCTTGGACATGTAGACGCTGTCGTCCTGCTGCAGATGGGCGGGTCGCTGGCTCATCTGCCGCTGGGCGATCTCTGCGACGTCGCAGCCCCGACCGCGGACGATCGACCCTCACTTGGCGCTGGCGCCCTCTAGCTTGCCCGCCTGGCGCCTGCGCCACAGGAGCCCCCGCGGGAAGGGCCCGATCGCGCGGCGCCCGCGGTCGTCGAGCAGGGCCGTCACCATTTTCACGGCTAAAATGGCTGCGGTGGTGATCTCGGTCTGCGCGCGCAAGATCTGCGCGCGCTGGGCCATCTACATCTCCGCCTGGTGGTCGACGGCTCGGCGATCCTCGCGGCGGGCTAGCGACGCGTGGATCCTCTCCTGATCGCGGCAATCCGAAGAGCAGCACGCTCGCCTTCTGTCTGTGGCAATCGGTGGTCGACAGCGCCGCGTGGCGCGCCGCCCGCAGCCAGTGCGCGGTGGTGCGCATGACCTGACTGCCATCGGCGCCCCTCTAGTGAACCTGCTCGTGCCGGTTGACTGATGGCGCTTCAACTGACGGGGGGCCCGCTGCCGCCAACGCCGCCGCCACCCCCCCCGCGCGCCCCCGCTTTTCCGAGCCGCATGCGCCCGCGGGCCCGGGCTTGACGCGGCTGAGCTGCCGTCAACTTTTAGTTGGATGAGGCGGGGGCAGAGCTGCCGGGGAGCGTGAAACCGTTCTCTGCAAGAGAAACAAATTGGCTACGGGTCGGACCGCAGCTGGCGGTCGTTGCATTCGATGGCCTCACCTTGCTAGGCGACGCCAAACCCCTGAACGCGGATAGTCCGCGCTGGTGGCCCCCGGGAGCCTCGGCGGAGGCAGCGGGGGGGGCCGTGGCGGGGCCCCAGACGCAAGTGCGCAATCGAAACCGACGCCTGCATAGTCGTCCAGTAGCTACGTGTAAACTATGATCGCTGTCTACATGTTGTAGCCTGCGTGCCTGCTGCTGGCTGGCAAATGGGTAGGTGGCGCAAGTGAGACATGGGGGGGGACAGCGAAGACGGGTGGGTCGGCATGCTGGGCCAGAGCAGTCAGGGGGGAGACGCAATCGCCTTCCTCCCATGTTCTTCGCCCCGCTGTATCGTAGCAGGCTGTAATGTATTTCCTCTGGTGGTAGTTATGATTTTGAAATATGGGGGCCACGATGTCAATTTGCGGTCAGGGACGCAAGTTTTCGCGTCGCACTGAGTCCACGCACGCATTCCATGCTGTTTTTCCTTCCCTGGTTTGGGGAAGCGCCAGTGGCGCCCTCTCTGTCTGGGCTAGAGCGCTGGCCTACTCCCGGCGGGGGCGCTGGATATGGGCCTCGATCGCGCGCTGCGCCCCCGGCCCCGGCGCCCCCTCGCCCGCCCCTGCCACCCCCCCTCGCCTGGAAATCGCCGGGCCGGGGCCGCGCTTGAAGAAGTCGAAGCGGGAGGCAGTGCGCGTCTGGATTTGCTCGTTTGTCACATTCAACTCCCCGTCGAGCACCGCCCGAAGGTTGAGCGCGGAGGTCGCGCCGCACTGCGCCCCCCCCACGCGCGCCTGGCCATCGTCGCCCCTCGCGCGCGCCCTGGAACTTGAACGAGGAGCGACTGTCGCGAAGATGCGCCGCTGCTCCATGACCTCCTCTTGCGCGTCGAACGCATGATGGATTGCCGCTGGGCAGCGGGCCCCCGCGCCTCAGCGGCGAGCGCGACGCGCCCGCGCGGCGGGCCGAGACCGCGAGCGCTCCAATCCACCTTCGCCCCGTTGCCGCGTGCCTTGCCGGCGTCGAAGCCAACCCAGAACGAGTGGCCCTCGATGCTGGGCAGCCAAGACACTGCGGCGAGGTGGCGCAGGTCTCGGAAGGCCGCTTGGTCCTGCAAGCTGAACTTTTGCAAGACCATCACGGCCTCGGCAAAATGTGCCGGCCTCGCAGACCCTCCTCCTCCGCCGTCCCCAAGCGGTCCGCATGCTCGACCGGCTCACCCTGCCCGCCCTCGCGCGGCCGTCGCGTTCCCCTTGGCCTGGCGTCGTCGGCGGTCGGGCTGTCTGGAACGGCTTGGGGCGGCCACCTGGCCGGCGCTAGTCGCCGCCCCACCGCGGGCCTTGCGCGGCTCGAGCGCGCGTGGCCATGCAACTCTTCGACGTCGTTTTGAGCCTGGTGGGTGCAGACGGGACATGCGAAGTCCTCTGGCGCGATCGCTTCGCGCGCCGGCTCTGATCGGTCCCGACGGCGTAACCCATGGAAGTGCACCGCTCCCGTCGCATGGTCGATCGCTGCTGTCCTGTCTGAAAAATTCAATGCGGCACGAGCGGCGCTGACTTGTGACTACTAGCCACGCTACTATCAGCCGTTCATTGCAAGGCTCAAGGCAATGCCGAGCAAGTGCCGCGTTCGTCGCGAAACGCGTCTCCACGGGCGGCCCCGTCCCTCCTCGTCGATACTAATGTGTTCCCACCAGTAAGGCTGTGGAGATTCTTCCTCCCATCCATCTTCCCCCGCCTCTCTTCCCCCCCTCGCAGGCGCGCCCAAATTCCTCCCGCTGTTGCATCAGACTGATGTGTATGTTTCGGGCGAGATTTTCGATCGGATGAGCCTGTGTGAATTGTCGAAAAGTCCGACTGGCTGCCTTCGCGCCGCGTCGAACTCTCGTCGATAATTGCCCCTTCCCGCAAGTCCTCAGCATTGCGGGGGGTCGCGGTGCCGCGCGTGTGCTCGCCCATCCTCTCTTTGCCAGCCTCGAGGCCCCATGGGGCACATCTAACATGGATGACCCGCGCCCCGCCGCAGATTCTGCGCGGCGCGCCTTGCCGCGCCCGGCCTAGCTCTGGCAGCGCCTTGATTCAGCAGGCGCGTGCAGCTACCTCTGCGCAATCAAACCCCCGAGATTGAAGGACTTGCAACTCGTCGTTACTTCGCGTGCCCCCGGCCTCCCTCTCCCAGACACTTCGCCCTCTTGCCGACGTCCGCGCGCACTTTCCAGCGCGATATCTCTGCGCGCGCAAATGCCGCGAGCGCGGGCGCAAAAGCTGCGGGCCCAATATAAGCCGCACCCATCGCGACTGGCCATTGGCCCACGTCGTTCGACCCACCGCGCTGCGCCCGATGTCTTGAATATATAGGGTTCTCTCAGGCTCGTTCGAACGCCCGCGATGCGTCGCGCGACCTCTTCTGCGATGTCTCGGCCGGCTGGCAGGCGCGGGCGCGGTGCCGTCTTTGTTCGCGGAGCGCTGAGCCTTGCAAGGTTCTGCTGAGTAAAAGCAACGCGGCTCCCTGTGCCCGCCGACGAATCGAACGATTGGTCTTCCCGTGGTTGACCACCCAGCCCGCGCTGGCAAGGTGCCGGCGGGGCGCGCGGTCGTTCCTCTGACTTCTTCTTCTTCTTCGGAGCGTTTGTCGTTCGCAGTTGGCGCTTCCTCTGGCTGTTTGTCGCGCGTCACTGCGCTGTGGGCTAAATTGCGGGCGCCTCCTGCCATGGGTTGCGCGCGTCGCGAAGTTCCTTGCGCAGTGTCGGCGCTATCCTGATTCCGCGATGACAGTGCGCATGTTGTGCGCGCGTCTGAAAAGCCTATCTGCAAAGCCTATCTGCGCCCCGCTCGTGGTCTCGACCTCCGCTCGCCCGTCTGCCACGTCGGGTGCGAAAGTGGCGTGGCCACTTGTTGCCATTGCGCGTCGTTGGTCGCGTGGTCTGCCTGCTTGAAGGCCACGGCCCTCAGTCAGTGCTCTGCTTGTGGCCGATGGGTGCGTTTATAACGTCGCCCTTCGTTTGCATTGTTGATGCCCCACCCTGCGCGGCTCTCAACTGGGCGCTCTGCGCATGTAGCGTCGCGGTTTCCATGCGCCTGCGCGGCGGGTCATCCGACGCCGTCGGCGGGCGCGCGGTCGGATCGCCGCGGCGGTGTGTTCCCGGGGGCGTGGCCATGCAGAGCGAGTCGCCCCATTTTGGCTCATCCAAGCGCAATGTGCTGGGCGACTGGGCCCCCCGCGTTCTTCCGACCGCATGCTGCCGCGTTCCTCCTTGCGTCTAACCTCTCACTGCGTTCGCTTGGGTCGCGAGAGTTGATTGTTGGATGCAGCATGGCCCACGTCATGTCTGTCTGTGACCCCCAATGAAGCCATGCCCTGCGCTTGCGCGCCTTCCTGCAATACGTGAACGTTGGCCTAACAGATCCCCGTCTGTTGGTCGTGGGTCTATTCCTTCTCCCGCGTGCCCTGCGTGCTCCTCCTGCGACTGCCGTGAGCCTTGTCGACCTAAGGTGTCCAATCGTCCTTGGGCCAGTGGGTGCGCGGGGCCAGGCGCATCTTTCCTTTAGGCCTCTTCCATTACTCTCGTGGGAGGAGCCCGGCTGATGCGTTTCGGCACGTTGCGGTTCTTGCAACCCCTCTCATATCAAATCGGCTGTCTGCGCGCGTCTCGCTTTTTTATGCCCACCTCCATGTCATCAGAAAAGAGTAAGCCCACTTCATTGTTCAAGAATGTCGTTCCTGGGTTCGTTTTTCCAAGCCCGCCGTGCTGCCCACCAAGATGCTTCCCAATATCCGTCGGCTTCATTATCAGGTGTTGCTGCTGCCCATGACTTCTGCGATCCATGCGGCCGCCCCTGCAAAACCCCTGCTCTAGGCGGGCGGTGCTGGAAGCGTGGGCGCGGGAGGCGGAAATAACAACAATCACGAGCCCTATTGGGTATATTGTGTCATAGTTGCCTACGGTGAGCAAGACTGTGGGTCCTTGCGTGGGGTTCCAGGTCCCTGTCGATCGTGCGATGTGAAAATGCGATCTGTGTGTCCTGAAAGTGCGTGGATCCTGTAACTTATTCCGTGGTGAATGGTGGCTATGCCCGTGTCGCTCGCTCTGCACCTGATCCGGAAGCTGGTGCAATTTCCGTTTCATATCTTATGTCGTATGCATCCCACGGTTGGTCCCTTCGTGGTCGCTGTTGTCCCGCGTGGCATTCAAAATCACAGTTGTTGCATCCTCCTGCTACTGGAGTCGTGCGGCACCAGCGCATTCGAGGCTGCTTTTCGATCCACCAGCTGATGGCGCCTGCGAATTTCTCCTCGTATTCCAAAAATATGTACCCAAACGTAGCGACATACATGCCATGCGTAATCGAATTGCTCCATGTCGAGTCGCATACTGGCCGTCCCGGGATGGTGGGTGGTGGGTGGGAATTCTCTCGTATCGTTCCCTCTGTATTCCCGGTGGGTCTTCACGCTCCGCAAGATTCGTTTAGCCACATGACCCTCTCCGTCGCAACTTGTAACACAATGAGATGGCGCAGGTAGTTTTGTTATACCAATTCAGCCGTGGCCCATCTGCACGTGTCACTTAGCAATATCACATCCGATGCTTTCAACTCACCGCTTATATCACCGAGTCCGCCGACCCCTCGGGGTCACGGCGTGTGAGGTGCTTCCCCCTCCCCACGCACTCACCCCGGGAACCTGGTCCGGCCGGTCTGTCTGAAAGAGCGGGCGGGGGGGTGGGGAGCAAGGCCGCGCCCTTGGAGCCTCAGGAGCCCCAGAACAAACCAAGAGGGCCCCAAAAGACCCCCCAACAGGGCTACGAGTCGCCGAAAGATCGCTCAAAGATGTTCAAGATTGCCTCCAGACGGCCCCCGAGGCCCCCAAGACGCCCCAAGAATCCACCAAGAGGCGTCCCAAGAGGCACTCCAGAAGCAGACAGCCCATTCGCCTCGTGGGCTTTCACGAGGCCCGCAGCGGCCCAAGAAACATTCAAAATCAACCCAAGAGGTGCCAAAAGGCTCCCAAGAGGCTCCCACGAGGCCCCCAGAGGCCTCTGGAGGCCTCAACACGACCCCCAAGAGGCTTCAAAAGTGCTGCCAGGAGAGCCCAGAGAAGCCCACCCCGACGAAATCCCCAGAAACTGAAACCCAAACAATTCCCAGAAATCGCCCGCGCTCCGCAAACTTAGTTTTTCACTCTCACTGCCGCCCCAAGGTCGGGCGTTGGCAGAACTGGGTTTAGTGGTACCTGGTTTAGTGATGTGAACTGGGGGACGCCCCCCCGCCCCGTTCCACTAAACGGAACTGCCGTCACCCGAGAAAACACGAGCTACGGCAGACCTGGTTTAGCGATTCTGGCAAATTTAGGCGCTCCGAGGCCCTACCACTAAGCGGGTCCCCTTACCTGAGGTCCTGGCTATACCCGACAAGGGGTCGGCGGTGCGGCGTCAGCCAATGAACCTTCCTATCCCAATCGCTTCCATTGGGCTGTCGTGGCACAGGCGCACGCTGACGTGCCACCGGGAAGACAGTTCCTGGTCATGGCGGTCCCCCATCCTCCGAGCCCCGAAGCCTACAAATGGGTGAAGGGCAGCTGTACGTGGGGTACAGTCGAGCGGCATCTGTCTGTGCGGTCAACACACGGAGGAGGAGGAAAAGAAGAAGGGAAGAAGAATCCACTCTCCATGCCGCGAGGCCTGCAAATGGGTGAGGTGCAGCTGCACGTGGGGTAGAGTCGAGCGGCATCTGTCTGTGAGGTCGACACACGGAGGAGGAGGAAAGGATGGACCGAGGAGGCTAGGATGCAAGGGTACCCTTGGGAAGGTTGCCCATCCTTACTATGCGGGTTGGCTGCACAGTCGAGCGGCATCTGTCTGTAGGGTCAAGACACGGAGGAGGGGGAAAAGCAGGAGGGAGGAAGAATGAGAACTAAGTAGGGAAGCGCGGCGGAGAGAAGGCGACGGCAGCGCCGTGCCTCGTCGGCGTGCGCGGGGAAGGCGAACGACGCCTCGCCGGTCTCCTGGCGCGGAAGGCTTACGTTGGCACTTCCACCGTGCCACGGCTGGGGCCATGCCGGGCCCGAGCGCGGTGTCTGTGCCCCACGGGCCTGGCGAGGAGCGGAGGAGAGCCACTGCCTCAGGCTCCGCTGGCGCCTGGGGCTTCT